ATATATATATAATTTAATTTTTAGCTAATATTTTTCCTACAAAATTGTGGTCGATTTCAGCTACGCACAAGTCTTCTAAGATGTTTTGATTGCTGACATAAACATATGACAGAGATTGTATACATGACAATAAAATTCCATATCTTACCATTTCTTAGGTACTTACGGAGTAGTATATAAAGGAAAACACAAGAAAACTGGAGAAATTGTAGCTATGAAGAAGATTCGTTTAGAAAGTGACGATGAAGGAATACCGTCAACCGCTATTAGGGAAATTTCATTGCTCAAAGAATTAACTCATCCAAATATTGTAAGCTTAATTGATGTATTAATGGAGGAATCAAGACTGTATCTTATTTTTGAGTATCTCACTATGGATCTGAAAAAATATATGGATACTTTAAACAATAAACAATTGGAACCAGCTGTAGTTAAATCATACTTATATCAGGTTTGTTTAATATGGAAAAATCTTATATATTATTTCATAATAATGTTTTATGCACATACAGGCTTTATTAAATTAGTTATAAATTATCTGAAAATTTTATCAAAATTTTTAATATTAAGGCATTATTTTAGATCACACGTGCAATTCTGTTTTGTCACAAGCGTAGAATATTACATCGTGACTTGAAGCCACAGAATTTGCTGATTGACAAAACTGGTATTATCAAAGTAGCCGATTTTGGTCTAGGAAGAGCTTTTGGAATCCCAGTTAGAATATATACGCACGAAGTTGTAACTCTGTGGTATAGGGCGCCCGAAATTCTTCTTGGTGCCACTAGATATTCATGCGCAATCGATATGTGGAGCATTGGATGTATTTTTGCAGAGATGGCAACCAAGAAGCCACTGTTTCAAGGAGACAGTGAGATCGATCAGCTCTTCAGAATATTCCGGTAAGATTTGTATACATTACTATTGTTATATTATATACTTTTATTAATTATGCAATTTTTTTTAGGATATTAAGAACACCTACAGAAGAGATATGGCCAGGTGTTACACAGTTGTCTGATTACAAAGCGACATTCCCGAATTGGATGACGAATAGTTTGGAGTCGCAAGTGAACACATTGGATGCGAATGGGCTGGATCTGTTGCAAGCTATGCTTACATACGATCCTGTGTACAGAATATCCGCACGAGCGACGTTGCAACATGCCTACTTCAATGACTTGGATACATGCAAAATACCTGCTGCATAACATGGAAAATCTATATCAAAAAAAGCAAACCCGTCATTTAAATTTGCATACATTTACAATTAATACATTGCATGTGTACAATTGTATTTACGTTTTTAATCGTGTGACTACATGAATAGTGTCTCTTTTAAGGTGTACTAAAAGTTAATTTATTTGAGTAAATGTCCTTCATTCTGTTTGATCATTTCAATGGTTGAAGTTTACATTTCTACTTTGTACTGGAAACCATTCTGTGTGTGAAAATAAGTTTATGTGTAGCTTTTAATAAACTTCATAAATTCCATATTACATAAATTCTATATATAAGTTACGACTAGAATATTAAAATAGAATATTTTATATTATGTATGTTACATTTAAATAATTTTTATGCGTTCAGTTCACGATTTGTTTTAATTAATAATGCTGATTCCAAATATTTTTTATGTTCGACATCCGATTCTTGTTTAATGAATATTAAATATTACATATGCTTTTACGTTTAATTTGCTCTTATATTTATTAATTCACTTTGGCTGCATAATATGCATGTAATATTCAGTTTTTTATATGCGCTATTTATAAAGCAATGGATTTTTTAAATCTACTCTATTGTATTTGTTATAATAATTATAAAATCTGATCATCTTTGTGCCTTCTATGATAAATAATCATATAATAAATTCACAGTCGTGCAAATCCATCGTTAATATAAAACGAGATTAATAATTTATAACTGGAATCCTATCTTATGTACATATGCCCGAAAATTTATATATTAAGATTGTTGGCATTAATCGCAAGGATTTTAATGTAAATTTTCTACTTTATAATTAAATCATATTTTATTAATAACTTTTTATATAATAAAAATTATTTTAGAAATTATATTTTGTTAGAGAGAGAGAGAGAGAGAGAGAGATTTTCTATTATATGTCATGTAAAATTAGTTTTAAATTTATGAGAAAGATAGGAAAACTCTCATATCTCGTAAACAAGGAATTACTAATTCCCAGAAAGCATTTAATATTATGCTTTTGTAGATGCGTCATCGTTCTCATTGATATAACTGAGTGACGTTATGATCATTGCAAATTTTTTAAAGAGACAATGTATATGTTGCTGTGTCAATATATGATAGTGGATTCATCATAAAAAAAAAATTGATCGGTACTAACTAATCCGTGATTTACAGAGAACAGTGATACATTGTACAGATCTCCATTCTCGTCCGTATTATGTATCCATAAATGTATGCGTGATCTGTAATTGGTTCGAGAGTGGGGCACCAGCCACATAAAGTCTATCCCTCCATTGAGACTTGTGTTTATAGTGTGTGAACGCAGAGAGGCCGGCAGCAACAATCTCTACAGTGAGTACGTAGAGTACGTGAGTAAGATTTTTGAGCTTGTAGTTCTAATATTTTTTCCTTTAACAAGTTAATCTTATTTTTCACGTAAGCATCTTTATAACAATTGAATAGATTGTTTTATTTAAATTATTTTAAATATCTACCCTGTTTCTCTCTCAAATATGTGCGAAGCTGCATGTTCAAGTAACAAAGGACATCGCTTATATTTCCCATATATGATATAATCGAATCTTGAGAAAATATTATTAATCGAAAATATGTATTAATTTTCCTTTCACGATATAAATTCTGATTTTGTATCTGTAAAAAAGCATTTTCTGCGAGCAAATGGAAAAATATTAATCGAATTATATTCATGCGGAGATAACGCTAATGTTCTTCTTGAATATTCTCTACGACGCGAAACGAAAGGTCGCACAGGTCGAGCTTAATCGTGTATTCGTCAGCTATTATCGGGTAGTTATCATTGATCTATCATCGTATCTTAGAATAAAAGGAAAAACCAAACAAACGTAGTCACAATTTATTCAGACTCAGAAATCTAAGGTCTTTGCTCCGCGATGCGTGTCCAAGGCGAGTGAATCATGCTTCACCAGCTGTACTTGAAATCTGAGAAGAAAGAGAGAGATCATGTTTAAACGCGAGTTTAAAGATCGTTTCACACCGAGCGTGTGCTTATACCTATATAGACTGTACTGGAAAATCACATTGTAAAAATGCATTATATCATCATTTCCGTCGCGATCCGTCCTTTGTGATCACATCGAAAATGACATCCGATTTATATTGTATATTATCTTATAGATCGGGTGTATATAATCAGACTCGCACTATCATGTAGATTATAGATGATATATTTATTACATAAATAATTTTTTCCACTGAATTACATTATAATAATATAACACATATATTTTTGTGTGTATTGATTAGAAAATTTGGAATAAATTAATCATAATGAGTCGGATTTAATGAATAAATTTTAATCTGGTTACTCACGTTTCATAGAAACTTATCCATTGATATAGATATACATTGGGAAAAATCCGATCCGTATATCAATGTTCTCCGAGAATTTAAATTGCTTAAATGTTGTTGATTATTGACTTTTTTTTTTTTTTTTTTTTTA